AACTCCGGGTCATCCAGGTACGCCAGGCACACCAGGAACGCCAGGAACTCCAGGATTTCCACCGAAACCGGGACATCCAGGAACACCGGGACATCCAGGTACACCGGGAACTCCAGGTTTTCCACCACAACCTGGACACCCAGGAACACCAGGAAGACCACCACAGCCAGGTCATCCTGGAATTCCAGGCACACCGGGCACGCCGGGAACGCCACCGCAACCAGGACATCCAGGAACACCAGGAATCCCATCACAACCCGGACATCCTGGAACACCGCCACAACCTGGTCATCCCGGAATACCTGGAACTCCAGGATACCCCGGATACCCTGGAACACCGGGAGCACCGGGAACGCCACCACAACCCGGACATCCAGGAACTCCAGATACCCCAGGAATTCCACCAAGGCCTGGGCACCCTGGTATTCCTGGAACGCCGGGTACGCCAGGCACACCTGGTATACCCGGTACCCCTGGAATCCCACCACGACCTGGACATCCAGGAATGCCTGGCACTCCAGGTACACCCGGTACACCTGGCACACCGGGTGTACCAGGTACCCCTGGAATTCCTCCACGACCAGTACATCCTGGTATGCCAGGAACACCTGGAACTCCTGGCATTCCAGGCACCCCAGGTACACCAGGAATACCACCACGACCCGGTCATCCCGGAAAACCAGGAAAACCCCCACACCCTGGACACCCCGGAATACCTGGAACACCTGGCATACCAGGCACACCGGGAACTCCTGGATTTCCACCACAACCGGGCCATCCTGGAATACCAGGTAGTCCAGGATACCCTGGATATCCTGGAACACCGGGTACACCCGGAGCGCCATCGCAACCCAGTCATCCTGGAACACCGGGAACGCCTGCGTATCCCGGACACCCTGGTACACCAGGCGTACCAACACAACCTGGATATCCAGGAACATCACCACAACCCGGACATCCTGGAATACCTGGAACTCCAGGCACTCCAGGAATACCAGGTACACCGGGAACACCACCGCAAGCTGGACATCCTGGTACACCAGGAATTCCCGGACACCCTGTATATCCCGGTTATCCTGGTGCACCAGGAACGCCGCCTCAACCCGGATTTCCTGGCACTCCCGGTATACCTGGAGCACCTGGGCATCCCGGAGCACCATCACAACCTGGATATCCTGGCCATCCTGCATACCCTGGAAGTCCCGAAGGGCCTGGTACCCCTGGAACGCCATCACAACCTGGATACCCTGGATACCCCGGTTACCCTGGCACACCTGGTACTCCTGGTGTACCTGGAAAGCCTGGAAGACCCGGCAAGCCTGGTAAACCTGGCAAACCCGGCAAACCTGGCCATCCTGGTACTGTGCATCCGACTCCACCGTACCCGGGTGAAGGTAGTACGGAAACGGTCCCTGGAAGTCCTTCATATCCCCCTTATCCTGGTTCCCCTGCTGAGCCAGTAACTCCGTCCTATCCGCCGTACCCCGGACATCCTGGTCCTGTTGGACCACCTGCTTCTCCCGGAACGCCTGGCATACCCGGACACCCAGGTAGACCAGGAAAGCCTGGTAAACCTGGCCACCCATCCCATCCAGAATATCCTGGTAGTCCTGGAATACCTGGCACACCTGGATATCCTGGAAGTCCCGGTGTACCTGGTTCCCCCGGAATTCCTGGAAAACCTGGAAAACCCGGTAAACCTGGAAAGCCTGGAACACCACCTGTTCCATCGCATCCTGGCCATCCTGGAGTTCCTGGTCATCCTGGAACTCCAGGTACTCCTGGAACTCCTCCCACACCGCCCCACCCTGGTACTCCGGGTACACCAGGCATTCCCGGTATACCTGGAACACCAGGCACACCAGGAACGCCGCCAATTCCACCATACCCTGGTACCCCCGGTACCCCTGGTATACCAGGGCATCCTGGCACACCTGGCACTCCTGGAACTCCGCCAGTACCTCCATATCCGGGCACTCCAGGGCATCCTGGAATTCCTGGTCATCCTGGAACACCAGGTACTCCTGGAACTCCCCCCATACCGCCCCCTCCTGGTACACCAGGCACACCCGGCATTCCCGGTATACCTGGAACACCAGGCACACCCGGAACGCCGCCAATTCCACCATACCCTGGTACCCCAGGCACTCCTGGCACCCCTGGACATCCCGGAACCCCTGGAATTCCTGGAACGCCGCCGATACCCCCATATCCTGGCACTCCTTCCTGGTCATCCGGGAACTCCAGGTACTCCTGGAACTCCACCAATTCCACCATATCCTGGTACCCCAGGCACTCCTGGCACCCCCGGACATCCCGGAACCCCTGGAATTCCTGGAACGCCGCCGATACCCCCATATCCTGGCACTCCTGGAACTCCTGGTCACCCTGGAACCCCCGGTACTCCTGGAACTCCTGGTCACCCTGGAACCCCAGGTACTCCGCCGATACCGCCTCGCCCTGGTACTCCGGGCACACCAGGCATTCCCGGTATACCTGGAACACCAGGTACCCCCGGAACGCCGCCAATACCGCCATATCCTGGTGCCCCAGGAACTCCCGGACATCCTGGAACACCTGGTATTCCCGGACGTCCAGGCATTCCTCCTACTCCACCACATCCAGGAACTCCTGGTCAACCAGGTAAACCTGGTCATCCTGGTACTCCAGGCTATCCGGGTTTCCCTGGAACGTCACAACCAGGTATGTAGTTTCATTAAATTCTTCATTTATATACCAACAAACAGTATTTTAATACCATATGCTGTGACTAAAAATAAAATAAAAGTTCATGGTCATTTAGTAAGCTGTAATGATTTTAGGTCATCCTCCGTATCCAGGATATCCACCGTACCCTGAAGGTCCAATAGGAGGTGTTGGTCCCGATGGTCCCAACGGTCCATGGCCGAATGGCCCAGATGGTCCCGCAGGTCCAGGAGGTCCTGAAGGACCTGGAGGTCCCGGAGGTCCTGTTGGTGGTGTCGGAGGGGTTGGAGGTGTAGGCGGCGATGGAGGCGTTGGACCTGATGGGCCAGACGGTCCGTGGCCAACTGGGTCTCCTGGTCCTGACGGACCATGGCCAGGCGATCCAGATTATGTCCCTGGAGTAAAGCCTACATCTCGACCTCGACATGAAGGGCCTGTCAAAGTAGAATACCCTCTAAAATATTACGAACCTACTACACCAGCTACCGAACACTTCGACCAACCATTTTACGGAAGCTACGGCCAAAAGCAAACAGATCGACTAACTTCACACTCCAAAATTGCGTCAGAATTTACCAAGAACGAATCGTTGGATGAGACTTACGAGAAGAACGTCGAGCCCACAGCTCCAGTGTATCCAACTAAAATAAGCAGCCCGTTCGGTGTGAAGGATACGCGATTCCAAGATCAATACAGAAAATTCGGTTACCATTCGGGTCAAGTAAATCAAAACGCGGACGAAGTTAACTCTTTGTTGGAAACGCAGCGGAAGGAGGCCCAGAAGTATTCCGGTCAAGAGAACAAAAGCAACGTCGACGGTGTGAAGAAAGTCTTTCCCGCGGAAAAACCTCAAGGCCCCTACAACGCAAAATACTTCGGTCAAGAGAAATACCAGGAAACTTCCCGTGAGGATCGCAAGTACACTCAACAGGTTACTAAAGTGAGTCAACCTATTCGATATAATCCGATCGTTCAGGTAGAGACAAACAAGTCCGCATATGAAGGCACCGGTGGTCATCCAAATGTAAAGTATCAATCATCAAATGGGGGCAATGCGGCACTGATTAAACAGGTAAACGAATTATCCGAGCCGATTGAGCAAAATCCCGGGTTCGGTGCAATAGGAGTTCATCCTCCGACCAATGCAAAGCCCTATCAGCAATCAGTAGGGCCAGACCCGCAAACCTGTCCTTGTTACCTTCTCGATACAGCCAATGGTACTATGAGCACCACAAGCACGACATCCATTCCCCTCATTGGTCAGCTTGGCTTTATTCCCGTGGTATTCGTACCATACTGTCCGGGTGTTGACGAAACGGACAGTCAAAACATGAAAGACATGTTCCCCTCCGCAATGCCTATACCGTACGCGTGCGACGCATGCAATTCGCAAAGCGGAAAGCTCGAAATGAAGCTTCTTAGCCTGAATCAGCTTGGCAGCGTAGAGACTTTGAAGGAGGCGTTGCGGCAAGCGAAACTTGGATTTTTGAATGTTTCAGTTCGGGATCGAACCGACAGGCGAAGATCGAAGAGTCGGAACGTCAAATGAAGAGTGCGATTGTAATACGCGGACTTCAGGTCGACCCACAAAAATTTCTCGACCACGCGGAAACGCGTAAACGCGAGAACATGCCCGTCCATTAGCTGCTGGACAGCTGACGGATGGCCACACGCGATCCAAAAGTAAGAACACTTTGGGGATAATCATAATCTATGTATCGGTGTAAAATGTTAAAAATTTTAGAGATGGGTAGCAAGGTGTTGGATGGGCAGTTAACACTGTAAACGGTGGCGAGTTCAAAGGAGGAGTCAGAAACGAGAAAATTAATTCTTGCTTTAGAGCTTCATGAGATACCACAACTTTCTACCTTATAGCGTTTGTACTCGCCATCTAAACTAGTGATTAAATAGCTTGTTCACGACTTTAATGGTACTAGGATGTATATAATTACCAAGATCTCCCAGATTAAAATTTAGAAACTGATATTGTTCATCACTGATTTACAGTTTGAATTGAAAAAAGTTTTTAGCCATTTCAAAAATTGTGAAATCCACTTGTGCTCCAATGTCAGAAAATAGTAAGATGCCAACTTACAAGTCTTGTATCTTCTGTTTCTTCCGTTTTCGAAATGACTCTTGTTACGAAGAACTCTGATTACAGTAAATTTGAACTGGTAAACCTAAACATAGTCGAAATCGGAGCCGCTTAACGAGCATTTTCATACTCATGTGTGGGTTATGGTTATCCTAGGGTATTATAGTACGGCAATCAGTATAACAATCCTTGTGCGTTCGTTTTCAGTGCTTTAATTGTATTAAGTGTTGACGATACTTTTTATCGTTATCAACTTTTCTTCAAAAATTTTTTAAATTAAACATATTATATGCACAAGGATGAATTATACTTTTTGGAAATTTTTCTTCATCTCGCCAGGTCACTTTTAAAGGCTACATTTGTATACGTACCACGATGTGTTTGGAGGTATTTTTTAACTATGGCTGCTATAAGCAGGAATTCGTCTCATCATCAACTATTTAATTTCAAGAATACTGTTTCGTCTCACTCGATGTTGATCACGTATAAAAATAAGAATCACTTTTCATGATTACACTTAATACATTGAATGTAAAATATGTAAACATCGTGCGAAATGAAAATCGTCCATTGCGTTATCTGGTTTAATGTATGCTTGAGATTAAATATCGATCATACAAGTGCTAATACATATTTTTATAATCCTTATTGAGCACGTACAGAATAACTGATCGAATTTTTGACATACGTTTCTTTCTCAAAAGTCGTTATCGAAATCATCATAGCTAACTGTACATGCTCGATACGTGTTTTAACAAAATAATTATATTTTTTATGTTGGATATAAGGTACGTACTATCTTATTCGTTAGCGTAGAATTCGACGAATTTTCACTAAATTATACATAATTGTATATATTATATATTAATATTGCGTTCATCCGATGTTCCTTTACGAATATGAATCATGTATTTTTATTAAATAAAACTAATCATTAAACATCTGAATCATTCACATCACAAATATTTTTACCTTAACTTTCTCATAATGTTTCATAAATAAAATTCTGTCCTAGACGAATCATAGTTTTATTCTCTAAGTTTTATTTATTATTATCAATAATATATGTATATGTACATTACTTATTAATAACGGTGAAAAATTAATAAAAATTATTAATACAAATTGAAATTCGTAATTAATGGACGTTTCGATGCCACATATACAGTTGCACCAGTATTAATTAATACTGCTGTAATGTTGCCTTCTTCGATATTGCGACAATTCACAATATCTCTCTATCAATAACACATTTAGGAATAACCTCTGTATCCTGACGGATAACCAGCATAACTGCCACGGTAACCCGAAGGATCGTAACTGCTTCTCAAGTTGTACGAGGAACCATAATTCGATCCTCCATACCCGGTGTATCCTGTCCCATACCCATAACCGTCTAATCCACCGTATCGACCATAACCGCGTACGCCGTATCCATAGTACCCATCATCGTAGACACCTGAACCATAAGTTCCTGGACCATAGCTATTACTGTAACTACCATAACCACCTAATCCACTCCCGTAGCCACCGTATCCTCCGTTGTATCCCCCGTAGCCACCAGATCCATAGCCTCCATATCCTCCATAAGTCGGATTGTACCCGGCGTTACCATAATAACCGAATCTGAAAGCAGTCAAAGTTCAATTGTTACAATTTGACAGAAATATGAGATTAATCAGAAAATTCGTAAAATGAACTTTCACACATATGTATATTGTAACAACTATTTTCTACTCACAAGGGACATTACCCAATCGACACACGCCTATTTTGATGCGCTTTGAGTATCATATAGAACGCAAAAAAATATTTGACACGTATTTCTTTTTATCGGCCATCGTCCATGCTGAAGGTGTGAAAATAGCCCCCAATGTTGGGGTGCAAAACATGTTTTCTCGAATATCTCAGGAACTATTTTATTACACTTCGCACTATTCAAACTATTACACTTCGCACAAGTACAATTTACGCGTTAACATCTTCCATGCGTCGAATACTGCCACCACTATGCGCCCATAACGCGGATCAAATAGGATATCTGACATGAGCAGCATATTTTTATGAAGGCATCTATGGACCTTCAAATTCTTTTTTTAAATAAATTAGTGTAAAAAATGTAATATAATACAATTTCCAGAATATTACGTATAGAAGTCAGTCGTGCACCGAACGGAATGTATAAAATGTACGTATAACTTCAACGACAGTAATATTTTTTCCACAAGCGAAATTAAAAATTCCAATTTATCCGTATTTTTTCTTTGGACCCATAGTTTATGTATGTGAAATTTGATGAAAATGGTACAACGTTTTATTAAAAAAATTTGTAAAATAATGTTAAGTTTTAACATATTTTTTAAACAAATAAATTTTTGAAAAATTCACTTACGCCATATTATTGGCCTTCTAAAACAGAAAAATTTGCACTTTGAATTTTTTGTCTAGGCCGAATAGTTCCTGAGATATTCGAGAAAATATGTTTTACAACCCCCAACTTTGGGGGCTATTTTCACACCTTCAGCATGGACGATGGCCGATAAAAAGAAATACGTGTCAAATATTTTTTTGCGTTCTATATAATACTCAAAGCGCATCAAAATCGGCGTGTGTCGATCGGGTAATGTCCCTTGTCAATATACTCTTGGAACGATCATAAGAACAATTATAAATATTTATTTTGATATTCCTCTGGCACTATTTAGTTTTATTAAACACTCTGTATGTAACCTACTATGTAGGATGTATTTATACATACTATGTATGTATTTATGCACTTTCATTATGTTTTATTTTTCAAACACAATTCTCTTTTTCTCTTTCTAATTACTATTCGATTAAGAGGTAACACCACTCTAGAGCCCAAAAAAGAGGCCTAACTTTGACAATTTATTTTGGAAGAACAACAAACGGATAAGAATTTCTTTTCAGAGGGTTTATTTAACACATATTGAACTACAAAAAAATATTTTTTTATTGTCATTTTCGTACAAAATGGAGGCGACAGAGCCGATCAGCGGAAACAGCTTTTGTAAAAACATTCCCACGGGAAGACGGATTTCTCGTTATGTATGAGTCGTGTGATAAAAAATCAAAAGAATTTATAATCCATGTACAATTGGCTTTAGAAATACGTAGGGGTTTTTTGATTAATCAATTTTTGTGGAAGTTATACGTTTTTTAAGGAATGAATCGACTTTTTGCATGAAAAATAAGCATTAAATTGTTTATAAAAAAAAAAGTTTACATTCAATCAAAAAACGGCTACGTACTACCACAGATAATATTATTGTGCAGCTACTGTAAAAATTTCAATTCGATCCATGCAATAGTCACCGAAAAATCCGTCCTCCTAGTATGAAAAAACTGGTTTCGGGGAAAACGCGTTTGAAGCTTAGTGAACGTTTTAATCCTCAAATTCTCTATTCACCACTAATCTGCAATGCCTGTACCATACGTTTGGCTATCCAGATCAGTGTTTGCCGCCTTCTCCAGCTTTCTAGATGCTTCTGTTTGTTTTGTAGGTAATAAGTAAACTTATTATTTTAAATGATAATAATAATATGAAAGCGATGAATTGCAGCATACTGCGCGAGTACTCAGTGCGCGCTCTGAGGCGCTGCGGCAAAATTGATAATTGAACCATTTAAAATTTGTTTTCTACTATAAATCAAACGGCATTCCGTTCTTAAGACCCTAAAGTATCGTTTTAGCCAACAAGAAAAAAATCGTCTTTTTGAAAATCCTAGAGTGGTGTTACCCCTTACTACAAATAGTACCTAATGTTTGTTTAATACTACTTTCATAGCAAACGACAGATGACACAACCTAAATACAAGATGGCGTCCTATGTACAAAATGGTCAGTTCGGACCTCCCAACTGTTATGCCCTGTACGATTAAAATATTCAAAAAAGAATCTATTATTATTTAAAAATTTCGTTATCAATGGCCAAAAATGAAATTTTAAATTGTCCGACCGATTGTCAGAGATTTAGATTGTCTGAATTGACTTTGTTCATTTTTCTTTGCAACAGTCTTTTCTCCGTTTCAAGCAAGTGAAATATCCTCAAGAATCTACCTCACTTGACATTTTTACGAGAGCAATCTATTATATTGAACCCTGAATTGTGTTCAAAGCTCACCCTATATGGCCACCTCCAATGATTCCTGGCCCTCCCAGTGAATATCCTCTGTAGCCTGGATTTACGTATCCTGGGCTCAATCCTGTACCACGGTATGCTGTACCAGGGCTATAAATCGAATTTCCAACGCCCAAGTAACTCCCATAAGGCAAACCTCCGATGTACCCAGGTTGACCATAGTCCTTGCTAATGTGGAATGCTGGAATCAATGGATCTTTTAAGAAAATTAATTTTTCTCAAGGAACATTAATAGATGATTTAATTAGTAACGTGTTCTTGTTAAATTATTTTGGGATTTCAATTAAGTTTATGTCACGCCCAGATTGTGCTTTCTGCGATTCTATTTCATATAATTATTCATTTCTTAATTATCCAAGTAATTTGTTTCTCAGTGAGTATTTGGAACTTGTGAATTATAGAACAACAGATTGTAGTACTTTGGGTTTTCGGGGCGTAGAACTTGAAATTTTCAAGATTTTAAGATTTTTTAATTATAGAGTTGGAAGTTTCAAATTTTCATAGTTTGGGACTTTGAAATGCTGTGATATCGGTACACAGGAATTTTTGAACTTTGGGACTTGAAATTTTGGAGCTGAGAGTCGGAACTTTGGAAAATAAAAATTTGATGAATGTTCAAATTTTGAAGTTGCCAAATTTCTTAAACAAATCTCTTTACAAACAAGACAATTACTATTTTAAAACAGTTAAAAATGAATATTTTCGGAACCAACGAACCGGTATATCCTGAAAATGGAGCAGCAAGTTCTTAATACTAATGGAATTGCTTTGTTTTGCGTCGTACATGATCATGACAGTTAATTATAAAATAAAACATACTTGCAAAAAGATGTTTCGAAATATGTCGTACCGTGTTAGTAAAACAGTTTTCAAACGTGAAATGGTGAATCAGCAGATAGCATCTTTTCTTCTACCAGATAAAAAGATCTCACTGACGTAAGAAATATGCGACCTAGGAAGGTTATTTTACAGATTTTACTGTGTACACAAAAGAATAGATAATAACTTAAACCTTGAAATGTGTTGAAGAATGGTAGAATGCTTTTTCACACATTTGCGTTCTCCATCCATTGCTTTCATGTTGACGGAAATGACGCGATGTTGAGCGATGTATTCATGAATCATCGTACATGCTTTTCTTCGAGATACATTTGAAATTTTGCATAAACACTTTCGAAATTATTATTTGTCATTCAAGTTTATGCTCATGTTGGCTATTGGTTGAATATAGGACACGGAATACGTTTGTATAACTAGAAATTTGAACTTTTTAATCTTCTAAATTTCTAAATTCATAAATTCCTGAATCTTTAAATTTCTAAATTCCAAAATTCCAAGATTCCAAGATTCTAAGATTCCAAGATTCCAAAATTTCAAAATTCCAAAATACCACGATTCCAAAATACCACGATTCCAAAATTCCACGATTCCAAAATTCCAAGATTCCAAAATTCCACGATTCCAAAATTTCAAGATTCTAAGATTCCAAGATTCCAAGATTCCAAGGTTCCAAGATTCCAAAATTCCACGATTCCAAAATTCCAAGATTCCAAAATTCCAGGATTCCAAAATTTCAAGATTCCAAAATTCCAGGATTCCAAAATTCCGAGATTTCAAAATTCCAAATTTCCGAAATTCCAAGATTCCAAAATTCCAATATTCTAAAATTCAAAAATTTCAATATCCCAAAATTCCAAAACTCAAAAATTCCTAAATTCTAAATTTCTAAATTTCTAAATTTCTAAATTCCTAAATTCCTAAAATCAAAAATTCCTAAATTCTTAAATTCAAAAATTTCTAAATTTTTATGTTTCAGTAACAAATATTGCACATATCCCTATAAAAACAAAATTAAGACATAAATTCCAGAATAAAAAACAGTCGATCATCAAATAACGTTGTACGTTTCTCAACAATAAATTGATCTCAACATACATATCAAGATAAAATAAGAAATTATTATTCCAGTCCGAAAGTCATAATACAATAAATAATAATAGTCTACAAATAACCAGATATAAAAGCAAACGTATCAATACCCGATATTATCGACTCTCCGACGAATCCTTAAAATTAATAAATAGGTATAGAATCAAAAACTTCCTATTTCAATAATAAATTGCGATACTTGAGAGAATAATGCATCTTAACCTGAAAAGAGTATTAAAAGATGCAATGTATTCTTTTCGATAGAATCTTGGAAACAAAAGGCTGCGTTCTGTAAGAATATCTGTAAGTCTATCGTTCGTGGAAAAATGCGGCACTAATCAAGACACATGCATCACATATGCAAATTCCGTTTTCCCGTTACGTGAATCATTCTAACAATGATCTAATGCAGAACAACGATCAGCAGCATTAGAAAAATACGGCACGGATTAACGAAGAACCTTCGAAGAATCTTGTACCATTAGCATGTTATTATATCGAATGACACTTTTTACAATGAAATCTGTCTGAGGTGCTCGATCGTGGGAACGGTAGTGACACACTTATTTAATACGTTCGCTGCGAAAATGTTGGATAACGATCGATTACGTCTAGGAAATAGTCAGCGGGTAATTTTGCTCGGAGACGAGACGAGCACACGAGCTCGCGTAATTATGCAGTTATCGGTATCCTTTGAAATCAACTATTTTCTTGCAATTCTTTTCATTTCTCCTCTCGTAATCGTGACTTCTGTAGACTTCTGCCATGATATGACAAATGGAGACCAATTACTTTTAAAGAATTCATTGAAACATCTGTTCAGAAGGACATCATTAAGAAGTCTAATTTTGGTACATAAAGTGCATCATTCTCGATGTTTGCGAAGAAGAGTGTCTTTTAATAATTTGGAGCTTGCAAAAAATATTCATTAGTGGTTGCCGTTTTTGAGATGGATACTTTCACGATGCGCAATAAAAGCTCCCTGTTTTTCAGCGTAGAACACACACAGGTATATCAGGGTATTAATTTCTGTAAATGATGTTCAGGAAAGAGATAACATTTCCGGTATAAAAGCTTCCTATCGTGTGTAATAAAAAATGTTTTTAATCCGACGAATCCGTGTGTAGGTCTGTAGGTAATTAAAAGCGGATCAGGAAAAAATTGTTATTTGAGAAAAACGTGTTTGAAGTTTATAAAATTTTCAGTGTGAGTGTAGAAATTTGAAAACTGCAGCCTGCGTTTGTACAGCTATATTTTCACAATTAGCGTATTTCTTATTTCTTTTCTTCTTGTTATTCCGAAATATATTTCGACACTCTATTGTTAATACTTTTGTTATGTTTACATATAGTACTAGAAAATCATGTAATTACAATTTATAATTTTTCTTTAATTATTAAGTGACATTATTTGTCAATACAAATGTATAGTTAGCTGAATTATAAAAGCATGTGTAATTAAAATATCCTAAAAGAACTAAATACCTAATTTATCCTAAAAGGACCAAAAAGTATGATTGTGAATTCGCAACAATTTAAAATGGAAATTAGTCAAATTGTATACTTACTTCGATCGCTTGCAGAAGCTGTTAAATCCTTGTCACTATCCTTGAACGCAGGGCTGTTTATGGGGGTTAATTTTGTAGTTAGCTTCGATTCTGACCCTTCAATAGCACTACTGCCCAGAGTAAATAAGCAAGTAAGCGATAATACCTGAAACTGGAAATGAAACTTGTTAGTATATAACAGTAAAATACTTATATTATTAATTAACCCCTTGCCGTACTTTGACGAGTCTCGGGACGCACTTAGAAATCAACTGTGACAAATCTTACTCAAATGTTTAATACTCTTCAACATGAAATTTAGGTCCGACAATAACTTGCATAATTAAAAATCGCTGAATATAAAATACTCATAACGTTTTAATTTTCTTTATTTGTTTTAACATTATAACTAAGAATAATTTTGACTGACGCATCTGGTAAATAAGTTGTACGGCAAGAGGTTAATTAGATAATTAGTGGCCAACTTAATGTAACCTAATAATTAAGAAACTTTTAATAACATCAGATTGCATTATTATATTATTAGTTTAGCTGTTTAATAATTATCGCGTGGTATATTGAACACAGCTATAATCTACTGCTACAGTACATGTTTAAGATTAAACGAGAATTTAATTATTATGCAGAGATGCTTGACAAGAAATTTTAATTAACACAGTAAATTAACAAAGATGAACGTTTATTTCCTGTGAAAAAGGATTTACGAAATCAAAGGAATATTGGATTTTGCCCTTTGCCTTTGTTGTCCGGTTGATCGTTTTAAAAAATCAATCTTTCCTTTATTTAAAACTAAATATTGCAAAAACATGGCCACATTTTTAGGGAAAGGAAGATTACTTCCTCCGGGTTAAGTACACTGTACATTTGCGTAATGGTGGAGATAAGAAATGAATTTAAACAGAAAGTGAAACTCTTCGTTTCTTTTTATCCTTAAACTTGGATACTTGGTATGATTCATTTTTAATCTTTATTGAATAGCTCTATTTTATTGTAATATTCAAAATGTTAGGCTATGTTTACTTTCAGTCTTTTTAACACTAGATTTACGGACATTTCTTATATACCTATCTTTACGAATCTGATGCTTGAGCAAATGCATATATGTATTTAAAGAAAAACAACCACTTCGAAAGCCATATAAATAAACGCTACAAGTAAGAAATGAAAATAGGTGTCTACATCATGTTTCTATTGTTATCAAATGTCATAATTCTAATTAATGATTGTGTGTAATAATTAATTCTGTCTTTAGTATCTTTTAAATGCTATCTTTACAGTGTATCTTTGCATAATGCTAAAATTTGCATTTTTGGGGTTGAACTGTCAATGGCAGCAATATTTGGATTCATGAAATCTCAAAATCTGAAGATGCGCATAAATCTTGAAGAAGAATGAATTCAATTTTGAATTTTTAATGAATTCAAAATATTTATATTACATCTTGTGATATCCTAACTGCGAGAAGAATAATAAAAATACCCTATTGTGAGTAGATTAACACTAGGTTTACAGACATATCTTATATACCTATCTCTACGAACACGCGTAAATTTGATGCACGAACGAATACATATATTTAAGGAAAAACAACCAGTTAGAAATATAATTAAACACTACAAGTAAGAAATGAAAATGTGAGATATATATTTATAGAAAGTTTTTATTATTCAATAATATTTTAGTGCATTAAGTCAATATTTTACATTTATATTTTTACTTCCCTCTACCCTGCGAACTGCGATTTGTACTGCGACCCCGGGTCTGAACCCGGCATACCGGCTTAGCTGGCCGCGTGCAACTCCGGAATAACGAAGTCCGTCGCTTATAAGGTATTGTCGTTACATTTATATTTATTATTGTTGTAATTTTTGCATGGGTAAAACTAATTTACTAAAAATTTTATTTACATTACGATCGCGTCAAATTGACGCACATCCGTAGAGATAGGTATACCACATAGCAAATTTCAGTATTTCAAATCCTTTGAAGAAAATAGACTTCAATATATATTTACGTCGTTCAATGGATAAAAGTCAGTACAAAATAAAATAAATGCGAACAGTTTTTGTAATTTTCCTAAAAAAATTTAAAATACGTCAAAGTGACACGTCCCGTAAATCTATAAATATTTAAAATACGTCAAAGTGACACGTCCCGTAAATATTTTGATTAAAGTTAGGGGTAGAAATTTTTACACGAAAGGGTTAGGGCTCGAAAGTAATATTAAATATTATAATGCACAGTTTAAAAATAATTATGTAGTTATTAGCTTATATTATATATAAGGATTATGAAATTAAAATTAACTGGTTGTTGCCTGAGGATTAACTCTTTGGGGTCAAGTGGGTAGAAACTGCCCAACTTTGTTTAACCGTTAATGCATAGTAGGATACAACTCGTCTCAAAAAGTTGACGTTGCTTTCATGTTAAATAATTGAAATGAACATTGTTTTGTTCATATTCAAAAAGTTCTGCGCAACTTTTTGTTTATTTCCTCCTGCTCAATCACTGATTAAACTCCGCTCCCTGACTTCATTATCGTACAGTTAATGTACAAGTAAGAAATAATAGTTAAAGTAATTGAAAATTAATGTAAAATGTTAAATGAGGTACAGATTGTAACCATATGGAAATTGAGTAATTAAATTTAATTGAGTAGTTTTTAATTGAATAATGAATGTTTAATTGTTATTATCTACGAAGATAAAAAAGTATCTGCTAAATACAGGAAAGAGTTAAATCGAGATAAAAAATGTGGCACAGAAGACCTAACCTCCGGAGAACACGTTTTCTTTTAAATTTCAGAAATTCTTGGAATTTTGGGGATCAGAAAATTTCGAAATTTCAAAATTTGGAGATTTGAAATTTTGGGGATCGGAAAATTTCAAAATTTCTGAATTTGTGTTCTTGAAATTTTGGGGATCAGAAAATTTCAAAATTTCAGAATTTGGAGATTTGAAATTTTGGAGATCAGGAAACTTCAAAATTTCAGAATTTGGAGATTTGAAATTTTGGAGATGAGGAAACTTCAAAACTTCAGAATTTGTAGATTTGACATTTTGAGAAACAAAAAATTTCAAAATTTCAGAATTTGGAGATTTGAAAGATATTATTTTTACAAGTAATACGTGTCATATAATTTACATTAATTACGATAATTTATTACATATGACATTTTCGTGATTTTGTTAACTTATCTTCATTTAATTATCTGACTACAATAAACACGTGATATCAATCATCAATAAATCCTCATAATTAACGTATACGTTAATAATGAATGTATTAAATTTTCCACTCGACATTTAAATCACTCAAAATATTCTTCAACCCATTTCAAACTTCCAATCACATTAAATCCGCGATATCAGTGACCTAAACGCGACACTAAACGTATCCAAGAAGATATATAATTCACTTAATAATGAAAAAGCATATGAAAGAGTCTAGAAAAGCACCTATCTACTTATGTGTATTTATCCATATCTATCATCCGTATTTAGTCAAAGAAGAAAGAAGAAAAGTAATTACAACCATTCAATTTCCTCTCGAAAAGAGCCCTTTGTTAAAATCTCATTCCAGCCTCCTACACAAAAGCTAAATTTGCTAAAGAAAGTCTGCAAACTAAGGAAAAAGGTTACTTACAAGATGAAGAAGGACCTGCATTTTTCTCTCGAACGAAATTTCACACGAAGACACCTGGCGTGGGAGACAATGTGTTCAGATGTGTTCTGCTCGACCGACGTCGTTTGAAACCTCTATATACGCGTTTCTCGAGCCCCTCCTCGTTTTCCTGGCCAAGCTAGGTTTGTTTAAGCTTGAGCCTTACTCAGGAGACGACGTTGACAAGGCCGTTGAAGAGAATCGCTCTGTGTTCTGCGCGACACGCCTCTGTTCGACCCATGGGAAACCGCGTTTCCTTCTTTCCGAACATACGTGTATGCGAATCTATGTACATATAGTTCAAGAGGTATACACACCATAAAACACCTATGTTATCCTTCGATTTCGGCTACGTCATGCAACGAGGACGCGAAAATTGACTTCAAGTAGTTCAAGATCAGGAAACTGACTGATGAGCTTCAGAAATCTTCGAAGATGGCGAACACGACACTCGATGACGCGATAATGATAACTTTCTGCTTTTAATATTGGGTCGAGGTTGATAAAATTTAGATGAATCGCGTGTGAAGTGCTTTTTAAATCGATGGAGATGGGAACGATTGGAAAAGGTTGCACGGATATTTCCAGGACATCACTGGATAATTCCTCTTTATATTCTTTTTAAATTTGAGGTTACTAAATATCCAATTTCAGAATTTTCATATTTCAAATATAATATAATCTTCGAAATCTTAATATTTCTAATTAACCAGTTTCTAGATTTCTGACGTTCTAAATTTTTAAATTTCGCAATTTTTAAGTTTAGTCCTTTGGAAATTTGAAAATTGCAAGTTTCTATATCTTCGAATTTCTAAATTAGAAATAACTTTTGCATAATTTCTAAATTTCTAAATTAAATGAATGCGGTAATTCGAAATTTCTTCACTTCTTAATTTCCTAAGTTTCTCAATTTCTTCATTTCTTAATTTCCTAAATTTCTCAGTTTCTTCACTTCTTAATTTCCTAAGTTTCTCGATTTTTTCATTTCTTAATTTCCTAAGTTTCTCAATTTTTTCACTTCTTAATTTCCTAAATTTCTCAGTTTCTTCACTTCTTAATTTCCTAAGTTTTTCAATTTCTTCATTTCTTAATTTCCCAAGTTTTTCAATTTCTGCATTTCTTAATTTCCTAAGTTTCTCAATTTTTTCATTTCTTAATTTCCTAAGTTCCTCGATTTCTTCATTTCTTAATTTCCCAAGTTTCTCAATTCCTTAATCACTTAATTTCTTCACTTCTAAATTATCAAATTTGACAACCCAAAAATTTTACAAAATGTGTGACAAAATATCACTTATACGCAACTTTGTATATTAATGAGTGAATCGAAGAGCTTTTTAATTTACTTTCTGCCTAATATCATTGCCAGACAATTTTCAGCAAACATACAAAAAACCGACGACTCAAACAGAAATAACTACCAGCTATTTACACTGCGACTGTTAAATTACTGTCCACTATTTACTTCTCAGTTATTAACTGAGATTAATT